TCAAGTCGAGAAGCTTTTGAAGTGGTTTGCATCCTCATAGCGCTTTTTTGTGCATAACTGGCCTTGTAGTCTTGCTATTGGTAAACTGATTTTGGACGAATATTTATAGATCGACGTGGATTCAGTGACCACATTAACTTTTCAAATTAGACTTAAAGGAATAGGGATATCAGTGATTAATAAGCGCATGCAAGTAAGTTGCAGTGTAATCGCATTACATTTATGGAATTTGAATTTTTTTAATACGTGACCTTGTATTTTAAGGAATTACTATACGCTACAATGCGTGGTTTGGAATTTAAATATAGCGACTCGACGCTTTACCAATCTATTAATTTTACTCTGAAATGGCTCCAGGTAATTTCAATTTTAGGAAACTTAAACAAATATCATTTCACGCGTTAACCATATAACATTCTATGTAGATTGATAATCAGCTATACGGTGGACTTTGTCCAATCATACTATATCCAACGGTTATCCCCAAAGATACCAAAGAAACCGAAATCCATCCTGCTTTTCAAACATCTCTTATTAAGGCGAAAGATGAATGCAAGTTTTAAACCTTGATAGGCATATGTATTTTTATTACTTTACGATTTTTGGATTAACGATAGAATTGAACATTATTCTAGCCCATGGAGTTGTCTACTTCAAGTGTTTTTCATTGCTACTGCAAGAAATGACATTTGAAATTGATGAAGATTTCCTATTTTCGCTACTCGAATTTACAAAAATTCAAGGTCCCAGTACACAAGAAGAAACAGAAATGTGAGATTAGCTTTATATTAAAACTTCTTCGCTTGCAGACTAGCTAGATTTTTGCATAAACATCTTATTATGTTCTAAAATTTTAGACCACTTATCGATGGCACTTTCGACATTCCTGAACCAAAGTCGGCGGAAGGGGACAGTCAACTATATTTTGAAGTCCTTCATATCAACCCAATGAAACTCAATATATCATTTGTTAGGACAGAAAGAATCAATGTCGAAAACAAGTATGAGCTAATGTTTTGATTTTACAGATCATGAATTTTTTTTTTTTTTTACTCAAATGCGTATGTTTTATTATAAGACCTGCACCTCGCAATCCGATCATGTTCTTTTTCAATATCTTGACTATGGCAATTGGCAACATAAACGTTTGTATTCGATAACTTCCACAAATATTATAAGAATGATATTAAGGTATAAATTATTACTGTCAACAGGACGCTCCGATAAAACTCAACGCCCTCGTCATGGAAAATATTCGTGTCAGTTTTCCTGTATTAGTGGATCGGATTCGACAACATTACGGAGAAGCCTTCGTTTACCAGGCATCTATCTACTTGCCAATTTCGAAACGTTCAATTCTATAAGATTCAATTTTTATTCATTCTTTCGATTTTTTTCCAGATACACAATATTGTTGGCTCAGCAGACTTTTTGGGCAACCCTGTTGGTCTGTTTAATAACATCAGCTCAGGTGTTCTAGATATTTTCTATGAACCCTATCAAGGTTTTGTCATGAATGACCGACCGCAAGAACTAGGAATTGGTCTCGCAAAGGTAAGCTCCCTTTAATTGTATCCTACTAATATTATTTAATTATCAATTTTATTCTCTTGAATAGGGTGCGTCGAGCTTCATCAAGAAAACTGTGTACGGCATTACTGACAGTTTCTCAAAGTTCACGGGAAGCATAGGAAAAGGTACATTTATTTGTCAATACGTAAAAAAATTGTATTACACAATAAAATTTTTACTCATTAACATATATAATTTTATTATTAGGACTTTCCGCCGCTACATTAGATAAGACATATCAAGATCGTAGGCGTATGGCACAATATAGGAACAAACCAAAGCATGCATTGTATGGAGTAACTCAAGGAGCGAACTCTTTAATAACAAGCGTCGGGAGTGGCATAGAGGGATTAGTTGTAAGAACACCAATGCAACGTTGGTTTATTTTCATTCTTTTTGTTTTACTAAAGTTATATATCTACACAAAGCGGAAACCGATTGAAGGGGTTGAGAAAGAAGGTGCGGCTGGGTTACTGAAAGGATTTGGAAAAGGCATTGTTGGGTAATTACCTTTCTTTGAACATTCTAATTATCGATTTACCTTTGCCTTATATCATCAATATTGCTCTACTTTCTAGATTCGTTACGAAACCTGTCGTTGGTGTATTTGATATGGCAAGCGACGTGGCAGGAGGTAATATTTGAATCTTTACCGCAAGTATTTCTATGTAAACAAGATTACTTAAATTTAATTATTATAAGGAATACGTAATACGACGAATGTATTTGAAGAAAGTATCGAACAAGTTCGACCTCCACGATATGTAGAACGAGATGGGATATTGAGAGTATGTTTTTTTAAAAAGTTCGTCTAAATCTCACCACATTGTGTATTAAGTTTGAATCACCAATTACTTGATCTATTTAAACAAGCCATATCAAGGGAAGCAGGCTCTAGGTCAATCATGGTTGAAAAAATTGGAAAATGGAAAATACTTCACTGATGATTACCTGGCACATCTTGGTATGCCTCTGACAATATATCCTATTTTTGGGGTCTAACTTTTGTAATGACTTCAATTTTTAAAATTAGAACTTCGAGGAGATGAACAAGCAATAATGCTAACGTGTAAGCGTATTATGCTGGTGAAAAGCAGAAGGTTGAAAGTTGAATGGGAAGTTAAGTTCTCAGATCTTCAATCAATCAATTTGCAGCCTAATGGGATATCATTGTTCCTTCGGGACAACACTCCTGGACCATTTATTCCTATTACTGATGCAACAAGCAAAGAATGGTTTGAGAAAAAGATAGAGCAAGTCGTCAACGAATTTAATGCAAAGAAAAAGGCTGATGAAGAAGAATAACCTTATTCCAAAAAATTTCGATTTATTTATTAGCTTGTTTATTGCCATGAACGCAAGTGAATCAGCGATACTTATTTTTAGAAACAAAAATTAATTTCTACTTCAATTTTGTACACTGTATATCGATCAGATAAATTTAAATTAAGCAATTCTCATAATAAAATTTTTACATACTGATTTTATCTGTTTTAACTAAACATTAATATTTAAGTTGGTTTTTATTAATATTGTTTAAATTATATTCAAGGAAAATAAACTTATCTTTATTCAAACTTTTAAATGTAATTTAAAATCAAATTTAACTTATTGATTTTACAATTAATTTAAAATATACTAGCAGGTAACCCTCGCAATGCTTCGGGCATCTAGAATTTAATAATTTAATTTTAATAAAATAATGAAATTTTATTTATTTTATAAAAAAAAAAAATTTTTTTCACGAAAATTTCTGGTTTGTTATGTAAAATATGAATGTCATAAAGTGTTATCCACAGATATATTAATGTTATTAAGTATATAATCACATGACCAATCCATTCATTTATATTTTCACATGTGTACTTATCTACAAATATTTATCTATGATTCTATGCAGAGAATTTATCAGCTAGAAATTTATCGGATATGAGAAATGTGAAATACAGATAAGATTAGATTGTTTAATTCATATTATCCATTTAT